CACACACATAAAATTATTTTGTTTTAAATTTTATTAAATATATATGATTAATAACCCCAATAAACCATTGAATATTAAACATGATTGTAAAGAATTTGCCACTGATCCGACTTGTTCCGTTTCTTACAATTCAAAACAAAATATACACCAATTTCCGATTCTTTTTAGACAAAGAATGTCTATTTTCGCATTTCTCTCTCTTAATCAACATCGAATGAAATATTAAATGGCTAGGACAAAACTAAAGAAAAAGGTTGAAGTTATTCGGAAACCCTATTCCAAGTTGGTGTAGAACTGGAGCTTGCTGGTGGAGTTGAAACAAACATACTCTTCATCCGCATGCTTACTTTCGGGTTTTTGTTTTAGAATTAAATGGATTAACAAATGTTTTAGGGTCTGGAGGTTGATTCAAACACTCGTGGATATAAAAGAAAAAAAATGATTAAAATACTTATCTCCAACAAAAAATATTTTGTCATTTTGTACCAATTTTGCCTCTATATTTTTTAAAATTTCAATTTCATGAATGTATTTTCATTTTCATAACCTCCATAGTGTCTATTATTAATAGGTGTTAACAAATAACTAATACAAATGAGCCTAAGATTTAGGTGTGTCCATGTGAGACGCAACAATAATAAAAAGTATTGCAACACAATAATTATATATGCTTATTTAAGTGAGGCATAGTTGAAAAGTAGCTTTTACCTACCATAATAATAACGAAAGTCAATTAATAGCACCCTTGTTAAATAAATGTGTAATTTTATTATAATTTTTTTAATTTCGATATATTTTAGACCTCTCTGCCTTGCTCAACTAAAAAGATTGGAGTTCCAATGATGTAAAAAATAATTTTAAAATTACATTACACTCCAAAATATATATTATATATATATATATATATTTTTTTCTTTCTACAGTGACCTCACAAAGGCCTACAGGTAGTAGGGTGGGCTATTGGCATCATCTCTAGTGGTTTTGAATGGTTAATTCAAACAAAATAAAGAACCTATTAGACTTTTTAAATGACATTATCCAAAAAAAACTAAAATGTAAAGTTAGAAAATAAGATAATAGACTCGAACAGCAACGTAAACCTACCAAATTGAACCTAATTAAATTGATTAAGATACTAATAACTTACGAAATATACCAAATTGAACCTTTGAACCTAACTAAATTGATTAAGATACTAATAACTTACCTCATTCTTTTAGGTTGAATGTTCAAATGTCTTATTCCGTCTTTTATGTAATAAAAAAGAAAAAAGTGAAGACCTATGTAAGAATTACAGAAATAGTGATAATTAAGGAAAAATCAAAAGTTTCTCATATTTATAAGCTTTTCTGGATCTAATGGAAAACCCTAGTACTGGAACTAGATGAATAAAATAGTTTCCTTTTTTCCCCTTTAAATTGCGGATCAGTTCACAGCTACTCTAACCTCATACAATGCCACAAACCAAAATTTTCTTTCAATGGTTAGTCAAAACAGAACCAACAACAGGAGCAAACAGTAACTGTTTTTGCTTTACTCAATTCTCTGAGCATTACAAATCTACAAACGGCTAGTTTTCTTGGATTAACGACTCTATCTCGCTATGAGAATTGAAAGCAAGAAGCATGAATTAACAAGATGGATCACTGCAAGTGTAACTAACCATAATTGAACTCATTACAGATCCTGAGGGCAGGAGCCATGATGGGACTCGCACGATGGCTGAAGGCGGTTTCATTCATAACCAAGCTTGAACTTTGAAACCACGTTTCATGTCCTAACTTCTAAGAAGATAACAATCGTGAGGCAAGTTTTGCAGTTTGAATGGTTGTTTAAAACCAATATGAAGTGCTGAAATCCCTTAGCTTCCTAAGATGTCTCTCCATATCTAGTCTAGTTTTGGTCCACTCCTCCTTCTCTATCACTGTGGTTGGATCATCTCGTTCGCTCTGGATAACATCGAGATAAACAGAGGATTAGGCAATAAACAGAGCAGAGAATGCTTATAATGAAATCTGGTAGATAAGAAACAGATACCGAATGAATGATCTTGAACGAGTTCCCATTATCGCGAACTACAAGTAAGTCACTTCTCCTGTCCCTATCTCTTCCTCCTGGAACTGTAACCTATATAAGGACAAAAAAAAGTATTTGAATCCGTTTTAGTAAATAGGAAGCAGCCCTAAAACTAATATTGGACCTTGAAGTTTAGAATTACTGGAACCATGCAATGTGAGAAATGATTTTGTGCACAACACGAAAAAAGGGTCTTACCAAGACTTTTGCCCTGGTGATCGACTTGGTTTTTGAATCAATTACATATATTTCCTCAAAATCTAGGACAAATTCTGGGTCACGCAGCCTTCGGTTTCTGAAGTGCTTCGTCAAGAAAACCTGCAAAAGAGAAATGCATCGCTCATACAGTCTTACATTCAACATTGTTCCCGTCCTGGAGAGATAACAAAAGCACGTTCACAAGCACAAGAAACTTGAATTCCAAATGCTGGTTATCTACAAACAGCATTTCTCATGTCCATACCAGCTAGTTCTACTTTTATGCTCAGCGGCGAACCTCGTCCTCTCATTTACAGAGAAATTTCAACTATTGGAAGTGCTATGCTAAATATGCTCTCAATTAGAAGTTCAACAAACCTACAGATCCAATACCTATAATCTTCAAATCTTCAATATGCAGAAATGCAGGAAGTAGAATCCCAAAACTCCCGACTTGGATAAATGAAATAAAAAGTGGCCCCGTTGTCAATGAATTGATTGTTGATTTATTCATGTTTGACATTGTTCACTTTCTCTAGAAATTTAAGTAACAGAGAGAACAAACACCAGAATTCTGAGTCCACCCTTACCTTAAGAACCTCCTTCTCAGACTTATATAATGGATCCCGAGGTGCATCAATGGGTGGTTCTGTGACATTGTAGCATCCATAATCACTCTGAGCACATCTAATATACTGCATTTGTGAAGAAAAGTAAGATCATATACTGCTGAAATATAATCAAGCCATGTGCCTAAAAAGAAACTTAATATAGCTTTAAATTCTACTGTGTTTCCTGAGTTTTCATACCTTTGCATAACATACTATTTAATCCCTACTGTCAATTTTTCAACAGTCGTTCAACAAGGACCCAAGAAACCAAATATACAACCTATTACATATGGCTTAAACACTTGCTAAGATAAATGAACAAAAGTTGTCAGAATTCTGTTGAATGATCTATTCAAAATTAACGACAATGGTTAAAATGGTTTTTTATCCCAAAATTTTGACTGTTTTGCATATTTTCATATGTAAATGCAAAGAAAGAACAGTAGCACCTTCTGAGGCATTGGAGCAAGAACTTTGGGGATGGCATAAACATCAGTGTCTGGAGGAGTAACATACATCTACAGCCAAGATACACATCAAATTAATTTGAGAGAACGCAAATTGAAATGAAGAAAGGTAGGACAGCCGCTCACCTCTCTGAAATCATAGACATCGTTGTCTGGATCCGGCGGCTTCCTGATGAAGAAATCACAGTGCAACAAGCTAATCTTATGAAACTCATCCTCATTTATCCTGTAATCCACAATCATCTCCGAATCCCACCCCTGTGTCGACACAAAACTTTTGCTCTGCACAATCGAAATATTCTCGTCAACGACAGCGTCAGAACTCGCCGCCGC